CCCATTATTTTTTGCAAGTTTTACCTCCACAGTTGAATTTGACTTAACAAAACCTCAAGGAACTGCTAAGTATTTTTGAAACTCACATATGCTGTTCGATATTGTGAAAACCAACTGGATTAAGAAATGTGGTGTTTACTTGGATAGTTTCTTTATCAACATTGGAATTAAACCCCAAGCTCAGATTTCAGCTCCCATCGTGTATGTTACGTGGATTGAATGTACATTTCAGGGCTTAAACCGCAAGGCTGCTGCTCAGCCAATTTTTCTACATCAGGCTTGTGATTTGTCCAGAATGACCCAGTGTATATCGTTGACCTACAGCGAAGGACAGAAATTATATCTATCCCAGATGAATGATGTTTTTAAATTCAATGTCTTTTCTAGGAATAGCTCCACAGCTAAGCTAGACCAGAAGGGTTATTAAGATTTGTGCCTACCCTAAGTTCTTTTATAGGTGGGCACTTCTGGCCTGTATCTGTGAATTCATTTTTACAGAATGAGAACAAATAACCAGGCGCTAATCCACACTCATACTTACTAAATATTGAGACAAAAGGTCTCCAGCAGAGACCATCTAAGACCAAGTAGGTGCTGTATAATTCAATGATCAGTGTAGGTCATTTGTCTCAATCTGAGATAATTATCTAAGCCCAGCCACATAGGTTGTATTTGGTTTCTTTTACTACGGACTGCCTTCGAGTTTACTCAAAGTGACACTATTGAAGCATGCGTGAATCCGTTGTTAGAACAAGTCCTCCAAACCAGCCAGTGACATGACACCATATTAACATATTTGCCTAAATGGAACCCTACATAGAAGAGTTGCCATTTCTATTAGTTATATATTAACATCAGCGAGGCTTGATATCCATCTTATACCGTGGAGAGCTCATAATTAAGAGAACAGAGGGCCTATCCATGCCGGCCGGACTCCGGGTAATCAATTTCACTTTGATCTGGCAGCCCCTCGTGTTCTCTACCCTCTGAAGGGGCATTATATATAATCAGGGATCAAGATGATTAGAGGCACCGTATTGTAGGAGTAAAAGAAAACAATTTTCTTTTTAAAATCAGGATGATACACGAAGCAGATAAAAACAACGATTGTTTGTACCTGTTAAGCCCTGGAAGGCTCCTGAGAATTAGACTGCACAAAATACTGGGATCCTAGAAGCCAGGAAGGAAGGTCCCATTTGAGGTTGTCCAGTCTCACCTGGCATTCACTTTGCCGGAAGTTTATCTGCCGGAAAGGCTCATGGTCCCTCCCTGAAGGGTGACGGTGTCTGTCCTCTGCAGGCATCTGGCCAACACTGGGGATCAGGAAGGTCTGCTTCGTTGCGCCTCCCACTGTTCAGTCTTCCCACCTCTGCCCCTCAGTCCTCTGGGGAGAGCTCTTGGATTTTCCACTAGTCTCCAGTCTTCATGCGTCAGTTCAACCCCTGGTGCTTCCTGGTGGTCCCGTCCTAGAGAGCTTCAGTCCACTGGCGCTCCCCTAAAGTTCTGTGGAGACAGTGTAGCTAGTGCAGATTTCCATGCAGTGAACTGCTCCCTTGTTCTGGACACCATCAGGCAGCTAAAGTATTAGCCCTGCAGCAATTTCCTCATTCTCTTGCCTCATATTGAGCTTGTGGTCAACTAAAACGCTCAGCTCTTTTTTATGTGAACTGCACTGAAGCCACATATCCCCTTATCCTGTTCTTATGCAATTGATTGCTTCACCAAAAATGCAGAATTTTATATTTATTTCTGCTAAAAACTGTGTTTTGTTTGTTGCAACCAGACATTTCTCAGTGGGGTCACTATGGCAATTTGGGAAGGCTCTTCCTTCCTGGGATGGTCCCGTGCATTGCAAGATTTTTAGCACCACCAGTCCCCTTCCCTCTAAATGCCAGCAGCCACCTCTAATCACTTTGATGACCAAAAATGCCACATACACAAACTCTTTCTGGCTTGAGAAACATTTCAGTCCATCTTTCTAACCAGGCAAGTCTGGCTTTCCTCACAGCTGTCTTTAGAGGTCTGTAGGTCTAGGGCATTTCAAGCCACATGGACCCCCCCTGTTTTATGTGTTTTTAAAGTAATGAGGTCTAACAGTGAGTGGTGACCCCACTTCACAAAGCCCAAAGGCAGAAAGTTCAGTAGCCTTCCCCAGGCAGCTGTGATCCAGCATCTGTATTAGCTGTTGCCTCCAACCTCGCATGAACACTTACATGAAACATCTTTGTCCAAGCCTCTGATAAAAATGTTGACTGGGACAAGGTCAAGTGCAGAGCTCTTAGAATGCTCTCACAGCTTCCCCCTGGGTCATTGGCTTGGAAGGTAGAGCACCTAATGCCACGGTGCTCCTCATGATTTTGATGACTTTTGCGGAAGGTTCAATGATTTTTTTAATAAAGTTGGTTACAGAATAAGCTAATTAAAGCAGCTTGGTCTTTTGCTTCATTGCTTAGTTAAGTCTAGGGTTTGTCTGGTATTACCCTTCTTAAGAGAGAAAAGGCTTTCAACCATAGGCACAGAATTAGTAACTTTCTAATGGATCCCAATGTTCCTCTTCATTAAAAAAAGAAGGGGGGGCGGGAATCAAACAGAAGCCAGTTCACTGAGCCTCATTGTCACACCCTATCTGATCGTGTCTTTAGGTGTAGTCCAGCTGCTCCTTCGAGATTGATTACTGTCAGTCTGCTAAGCTTCAGCTAGTTGAGTCGGTTTTGCTCAACAACTGATAACAGCTAAGCTAAATTTGGGTCATTAAGACCGTTAGGGTAGATCATCTGTCTGAAAGTTAATCCATTCATTAGTCTCTATTATGTTGACCAAAAAGAAAACAAACCATATTTTGAACATTATAGTGGGTCAGTTTGATCAATGTGTCTGGAGGTCATTGTGATAATGCAGATGCAAAGAAAGTTTGCACGTCCACATCATTTCGTTGCTCATCCTACCTAGACTCATTTTAAATATTGCAGGTATGTGAGTGAGTGGGGCTAACTTCCAGGTGCCATTTACATACTGAGCAAGACCTTTGGAGGATGATTTGCACAATCTGTTGCTAGCAGAACACATTCTCTGTGTGCTTATTTGAACCTCTTATTTGAACATGCCTTTGAAATGACTGGTACAGAAATTCATATGAAACTTTAATATTTGAGGAAAAGAAGAGGGGCAAAGAATTGAGATCAGAAGAGATAGGGAAAAAATGGAATTTCATGAGCCTTGAGTCTTTAGCTGATAGAGTATCCCACAAATCCCACAAGTAAGAGAGACCTTTGAAATTCTGGATTCGCTGGAAACTGGATCTTTCTGTCAGCAGGAAGAATTCCTCTTTCGTACAACCTAGGTGCCCACATATAAATACTGGAAAAGGTGCCTCGTTGAGCAGTTAGAGTCTGGCATATTCTGCGTGTGGGCAAAGGTAGAGCAGGTAATACTTTAGGATAACAGTAGGGATGCTTCACTCTAGTTTATTTACATATTCCTACAGATTCCTACAAATCCTTATTACTTCTTAAAAGATGTGAGATGTGAGATGATAAAATGTGAATAAACCTGGAACTTAAAATTTCTGGAGCATGACTAATCCTATCCTAATGTGTTTTCTGTGTGTGCATATCAGATTGTCTTAAAGTGAGCCACACCATCACCAAATTATCAGGGCCGAGGCATATTCCACCAGGTACACAGCCAGGAGGTCAGGCTACTGGAAGCATCTTGTTACTAGCAACACCTTATTCTAAAAGCCACAAAACCGTACTGATCTGGGAGAGACACAAGAAGAATCAGATTTGAAAAACAAACAACTCCATATGATACAGCCCTTAAAAAACGATCTTGATTCATGCAGCCCTGGCATGTGACAGACAAGCTTCTCGGTGATGTGGACTTGGCAACCACATTTGACATGTTGGCCCACTGTCACTTTGGTCTCTGCATGTTCGTTCCTCTGTTCTCACTTTTTTCTTCATTCTGACATCACGTGACATAATCCAACATCTCCCTCCTCGTTTCTCACAAAAGCTCTTTGCATTTAGTGGACTCTTACTAAATGTTTGCGGACTCATTTGCATTTCCTGGATTGCATTGCTGTGTCTCTGGCATCTGTTCTTTCCTTTCTCCATCTGAACATCAGGGACAACCAGGCACTCATGCCATCTAATAAAAAGAACAATGCAGGTATAATGTTTTTGAATCCCGGTATGAAAACAGAAAAACCATAAGCATTGTAGATTCCCAAGTGCCGGATAAGTAAAATATCTAGATGTGGGCAGGAAAATAACCAAGCCTCTATGCTTCTGAGTTGACTCAGTCCTTTGTGAATGCCGTGTTGGATGACGGTGGTGCATGCTTGAGCCTGCATGCTGTCTGGGCATTCCTCTTAAAGAACTGACTGGAGCCTGCAGCAGCAGAGATGGCTGGCCTGAAAGTTTCCTGACCCACAACTTTAAGGACTTCATGCTTACCATTCTCTGCTCCTTTCTTAGTTCCTTTTTTTTTTTTTAAGATATAAACTTGATTTTTAATAGGATGCATGCCACGAATTAGAAAAATGCATGAGCACCAAATGGCATTAGTAGTTTTGCAATAAGCTGTCTGATAGAATCCAAAGGAGGAAACCTACCCTCTAAGTATCTCTAGATTATGGGGTTCGTATTAGTCGCGTCATGAGATACAACGAGAAATGCTCAAGATGTTTTACAACAGGAGCAGTCGAACACGTCTGCTGGTGTCCATGTGTATTCCTACCAAAGGTTAGGAAAGCCTTCTCCTTTGAATGATACATCTTAATGTGTGGAAGGGGGGAAAAAGCGGAACATAAGCTAACTCCTAAATTAAATTGGGTAATAAACACACCATTGAAAGTGGGCCTTGGACAAAGTTCTGAGTTAAAAAGCAGCTGCATGTGCACGGAATGCAGTGTGATACATCAATTCTCTGAAGCAACATGTTGTAAAATTTTACTGCTTTCTTGTTGTGTTTTATATCTTGTTCTCTCCAGGCTTCGTGGACTCGACCAGAGAAGCAAGAGGTATAGCTTACCTGACCACTAGCCAGTCTTTAGTTTTTGAAAGCATTCTAGCTTAACTCACCATTCCAGTTCAATAACCAGACATGCTAAACTAATTAGTCATAGAGTTAGATTAAAGAATAGGTCGATAGTGGTAGACATTACTTAGAAATAGTGGCGTTTTAGGATGAGCAAGCAAGCTGTGTTGGGAGTGGATGAACAAATCCTTATTACTTCTTAAAATTGGATCTTATTTTCTTGCTGGTGCTGGTAAAATCACATCCAGGTAATTATACTTACAGAAATAAATCGCTCCAATTCCCAGGCCAGGCTTTTTGAAATGACAAGATTTTTTTTTTTTTTTTTTTTTTTTTTGTGACTCTCACCTGGTTGATGTGGCTTTGGGTCATAAAGTCATGGAGTTAGTGGTCTAAAAACCCACTCAACCCTTTCCAGCTCAACTCATCTTGTTGCTCGCTTATTTTATAATGATTGGTCTTGGTAAATGATCACATCACATCCCATTTCATGTCAAAGCAATGCAGACGACATCTCTCCTTGGTTTGCCCAAATTGCTAAACACACATATGTCACTTTGATAGAGCATTAAATTTATGAGATTAGCACGATTTGGCACAAGCGGTTTTATGTTTTTTAGAAGTCAGTAGCATTTAGCCTTTGAGCTTTCTCTGACTGCTTGCTTCAGCTTGGGTAATGTGGGACTTTGTTTGAAAACTGAAGCTAAATATTAATCTTAAGATTTTAATGTTACACACCCAAGACCCTAATTACAATCATGCCTATTGTTTTTTTCACTGATTTGTGTGATTAAGTGACAGATAGTGAAATAAAAACCAGTATGCTTTAGAGGAGGTTCAAGGATCAAACCCATAAATATTTTTTTTAAAAAACTAGCTTTTGTCTCTTCTCCAGAGGAAATTTTGATATTGTAATAGTATAAATGTAGACTATGTCAATCCTATACACTGTATTTTAATCAGGTAACCCTATCCTCTTAGTCTTCCAGAAATGATAATTATTCAGAACACATAACTCCTGTGTTCAGGTCGTGGCTATAAATATTTAATGCTGTTTAATATTGAGGAGTTGACTGCCTGTCCCCGGGCACGGATCCTAGTTTCTGCACATGAACACACTGTCGTGATCAAACCTAGTGTCTGATAAGCTCACTTTGTATCCTACCTTCTTCCTTGTCATGGGGACCGTAATCAAGTGCGCATCCTGCTGAAATGCCTCCCTCCTACGGCACAGAAGTCGCTTAGTGCTTTCCCAGGCTGGGTGTTCTATTGCCCCAAAGTCACGGACCCATCCGGGACTGGGGAAGGGAGAGAAGAAGCTTTCATTATCAGCCACTTCTGAGCAACTACAGATCTCATTCTATTTGGCCTTCCACTTCTCCTCTTGTTATTCTGATTTAAACCTGGCTGGAGGGGGAGGGGAGATTTATCAGGGAGCATTAAGGGAGGTTAAGAGAATTACTATTATAAGAGGAAGTAATAGGTTTACTCCCAGGAAAGCAGACAACTCACTTCCGGTTTCCAGAAGTATCCTTATCTTGAGTATCTCACTCTGGATATAATTGACTTTCAAGTGAGTGCCGCCCCTGGGGCTCAGAAGTTCCATTCCTTCCTGTTTGTCTCATTCAGAGATGAAAACCATTAAGTCCAGATGAGCTCCAAAGAAGGCTTGGGCTATGGCCAGTTTCGTTCTGTAAGCTCAGAAAATTCACACTTTTACCTGGAAGAAGGGATGCAAAAAATGTTGATGAGAAGAATAATTGTAATTGCACTGCATGCTATTTTTGCAAAACAGGGTCTTCTTGTCCCAGCTCTCCTTCCATTCTTGCCCAGAGATCATCTGCTTCCTCTGCAGGCCTGAACTATCAGCATGACCCCTGTCTGGATGGCTTGTAGGTGGCACTCCCTGACTTTGCCTGGTGTCAGAGGGAGACAGTCTAATTGCACGGGAGACTCTGCTTCCCCTTGGAGGGAGAACTGGGCATCTGACAAATTCCCATCATCAATCCTGTCGTGAGCCACTGCAAAATGAGAATTCTCTGTAGAGGACTGTCTCCTGGTCTGTTGACACAATTAAATGAGAAAATTTTCCACATAGAGAAATTAAGACCACGTAGAAGGGGAGAGAAGTATGGCTGTCAATGAAACCACTTCCCAAGCTTCTCTTCAACCATTTTCTAGAATATTCTGCATAGACTGTTCGTGTCCTGCTTTGTTGTTATTTGTTACTGTCCTACTCTTACCTACATGACTCTCTTTGCATCTTTTGCTGTAGTATTGCTTCCATTGTGGAAATGTTCTCTTGACTTCCCAAAGATCTGGTCAGTTTTCCATGTTTGTGGGTGTTGAGCCCAGGACAAGCTCCATCTGTATGACAAACAATCCTAGTTCAGCCGTCAGCTGGTGTCACTGTGGGCTGAGCCTGTGTTCTCACTGACATAACCAGAAGGGCAGGGGGTGGACTTCGAACCCTTTCTGCCTTTATCCTGTTGTGTTTGGGGCAGACAGGAGTGACAAACAGGTAAGGTCAGCCCTTTAGAGATACTTGCAGGGATTTTCTCAATGCCACTAGTTTAATGGCTTTATTTTTGTATGGCTCATGGAAGTTGCCACTGGGACGTATTGGGACAACCTGGTCAGCCCACAAGAAAAGAGAGTCCGAAGAGCCAGGGACCCTTGGATGTCTCAAGGTGTTCTAGTCAAGTGTTCCACACCTGTCTGTTGTCATCTCTCACTAATGTGTGGCATCTCCTCAACCAGTCAGCCTTGCAGACTTACAGGTCAGATGGTAGTTGAGAGCCGTGGGCATCGGGCACTCCTCTGAGAGCGGAGTGGCCCTTAGGCAGTGATGATTTTGCTCGGCTCGCTGCCGCCTTGCCAGCAGGGGTGTCCCATCTTCCAGATCCAAACCTCAATGGGGCTTAAATGCCTGAGATGAATTCATTCCATTAGTGATGGTCAGAGGGACTTTTTGGGACAGGTCTCCACAGAGACCGCCCCACAAGGCCCATGGGACCTTGCTTTTGAGCTGCCCAAGCCGGCTGTGTGTGACATTGCAGTTCTGGGTTTCGGGCTTCCAAACCAGCACATCAGAAGAACCTCAATGAAACAGGTGTTCTTTCATTCTTTAAAGGCCCGACCCCATGGGACGACAGGTGCTATATGCAGAGCACTCACCTGTCCATCTCCACAGAATATCATATGCTGGAGATAAGAGTGTAGCCCAGCCTGCAAGGAACGAGACTCGTTCTTCAGATTACCAGCTTCCTTGAGGATCTGAACTTGGGCAACATGCCCAGACTTTATCTAGGCCAGCAACCATTTCACTTCGAGTGTCAAGGCAGGAGCCCCGTGGAAATATTCCAGGACCCATTGCCTAGGGACTATAGGTTTATTCCCCTTTTGACCAGTCGCTGGAATTCCAGAGACTCAGGAAGTGAATTATTGTATCAAGGGCTAGAATGCAGAATCTGGTGGTGACTGCCTGGGGCTCTGTGCCACTATCCCTGGAGAGGGGAGCCAGGGACCCTCACTTCCAGCTCAACAGCTCCTCATCATCAAGTTGTTGGACTTTCTCTTGAATGAAATTATTTCACTTTTAAGCCTTCAGGAAAGCGAGGCATCTGCAGAAATACAGGTTTCTTGTATAATTTCTTGCACTTGGCACATTCAGATTTCCCATTATGCATGCACGCACCATGGAACTGGCAGATGGGCAGACTCCTGGAAGGAAAGCTTAGGGTGCAGGTTTCCCAGACTCTCATGAGGCAAAGCTGTCACTGCTGGAATATCTGCAGGCCAGGCCTTTTGCTTCCATCTTAGACGTGCCAAACAAAGTCGTCTTGGGGGACCTTGGCTGTCCTTGCCCCAAACCGATCTTGGCATAGGGTCTAGGCTGCTTCACATAAACTGGGTCCCTTTTTCTATTTTGGAGACACTCAAGTTCCCGTGGTGCTCTCCAGAGCCTCCCACACTAGCTGGGACCTTAAGTAAGACACATGGGCACAGCTTGGGGAGAGGATGTGAGACTGGTCCCAGACAAGAGATGGCCCGGTCTCCCACCCCCAGCCCTGCCGCGGGCTCTCACGCTCTCTCTTCCCTCCCGGCAGACTCTGGACGGGCACATGGTGGTGCGTAGCCACGCCCGAGTGTCGTCCCTGACCCTGAAGAGCATCCAGTACACAGACGCCGGAGAATACATCTGCACCGCCAGCAACACCATCGGCCAGGACTCCCAGTCCATGTACCTGGAAGTGCAATGTGAGCAGCAGCTGTGGAAGAACGAGGGGAGGGGGACCGTGCAGGGTCAGGCTGAAAGGGGACAAGAGCAGCCAGGACCCGAGCCGCATCCCCGTAGCTCTGCTCACACTCCATGTGGCAGTGGCCCGAGGCCATTCCAGAGCTTTGTCCCCAGGTCATGCCCTCACACTGGCCGAGGCTTCTTACAGGCTCACAAACCCTTCCATCTTCCTGTGCAGCTCACAGGACTGCGGAACCGGCCTGACCTTTCCTACGCCCGGGCCCTGGCTCTGCTTAGGGCACGCCCGCCCTCCCAGGGCTAGGAGACGGGGTGTACGGGGCTCCTCTGTGGTGCTGGTCTTCCTGATAGGCATTGCTGTTCCTTGCAGATGCCCCCAAGCTGCAGGGCCCCGTGGCTGTGTACACATGGGAGGGGAACCAGGTGAACATCACGTGCGAGGTATTTGCCTACCCCAGTGCTACCATCTCATGGTTTCGAGATGGTCAGCTGCTGCCAAGCTCCAACTACAGCAATATCAAGATCTACAACACCCCCTCCGCCAGCTATCTAGAGGTAGGTCGTGGTGGAGGCAGGGGAGGGGGGAGGAGGCACAGTCTGACTCTGGATAGGCTCCTATATGCAGCTAAAATCTTCTCTCTTGCTCCTCTGGCATCCTGACCAGCGGAACCGTCGGCTACAGAAGAAACTGAGCCTCAGCCCTGCCCCTTCTCTCTCCCTGGGGCCAGGTCGCAGCCCAGGAGGCCGAGCGTGCCTCTCTCACTGGCCCCTTGGCAATTCTCTCTGGCTTAAGGCTGGGCTGGAGCTAATGGTTCATGCTTTCCTGGTTCTTTCCTTTACAAATTGGTCCAATAAATAAAGATATGAGTCGGTGGCCATTCCATGGGACACTTAGAACCCACGAGTTCCTTCTTTCCAAAGGTGACCCCAGACTCTGAAAATGATTTCGGAAATTACAACTGTACTGCAGTGAACCGCATTGGACAGGAGTCTTTGGAGTTCATCCTCGTCCAAGCAGGTGAGCACCCCGTATGGCTGCCCTACCCTGACCCTTCCTGTCCTATTCCGTGCCATTTGGTGACATCAGGAAAGTGAAAGAAGAGAGGGCCAGGGTAGCCAAAGACAGAGGGTCAGGAAGCAGGGAGCCTATGGAGATTCGAGGGTGTGGGTACAGGGCATGTTGGGAGAGAATCATAAGGTGAGGTGGACTGGAGGACAGGATATAGGTGACAAGATTCCCAAGAATAAGCGGAAATGAGAGACACGCTTTGTGGCTGAGAGTTACGTCCTGGACCTAACCGGGCTCACCTGGGTCTCCGTATGTGCCCTCCCCACAGACACCCCATCTTCACCATCCATCGACCAGGTGGAGCCATACTCAAGCACAGCCCAGGTGCAGTTTGATGAACCAGAGGCCACCGGTGGGGTGCCCATCCTCAAATACAAGGCTGAGTGGAGAGCAGTGGGCGAGGAAGTGTGGCATTTCAAGTGGTATGATGCCAAAGAAGGTAAGTGGGGGAGAGTCAGCGTTTCCTTTAGAAGGATGGGTTGCTTGGTGTTGGGCAGACGCTCACCCCGGGTCCTGGCACCCTGACAGCCCGTTGGGGTGGTCTGGCACAGCACTCTCACCTGCTGAGGGTGCCACAGGCCAACACCTGCCATCCGCTCATCTTCCTGTGCTGCAGCACAATGCCTGTCCCTCTAGAATGAGGGCAGGTCGCATCTCCTCTAGAATTACTGGCCTTCTGTCCCCTGGTACCTCAGAACCTGCTTCTCGGGACCATGCTAAGATGGATGAGGCCATCTCAACCACGTTCCAAGCAGAAGCCCTGCTTAGGTGCTGAGCACAACCAGAGGAGTCCCATCCAGCCCTGCCCTGCACCTGTGGGTGCCCTGGGCTGTGGGTTCTCTGCCATCACCCCCTCAGTCCTGCTTGGCGTACTCAGGGGCTGTCATGTAATTACGGTATTAACCAAATAACAAATTGCCGGAGAGAAAAGTCTGCTCTTAAATCCATCCTGTGATATAGTTCTAAACTAAAAGTTTAGAAGATAACCCTTGGATGCCTGCAGTTTGAAGATTCTGAGCCCGGACCATTTTGGCCCGAGGATCGAGTATATAACCCTGTCTGACTCTCCATTTGGGGTTTAATCAGGATACATCAGTGAAGCATGCTTTGTTTCTGTAGGAAGTTTTAATCCCGGTCCTGTCTGTAGTAACAGGGGCAGCCACCTCCCGACCCGGTTTACTGAGAATTTGTTTCACCAGAAAGCTTCCATCACTCTTTCAGCTTTTGGGGGTGGGGGCGGGGTGGCCTGGGAGGAATTTCTGTGCCGTCAGGATTGGAGCCAGGAGAAAACAATCTCTTTACCTCCCTAACTTCCCTCTGAAACCTCACACCAACTTACGGCGAGTTGATCCCATGTCACAATCTGTCCAACTGGCTTTTTTTTTTCTTTTTGTCATTGCTACAGCTGGATTTCCTCCCCCCTTTTTTTATATTTTTTTTAAATTTAAGTATAATTAACTTTCTAGTTCTATTTTTGTTGTAGCAAAATATATAGAATATGAAATTTCCCATTTTAGCCATTTTTAAGTATACAGTTGAACAGCATTAAGTACATTCACATTATTGTGGAACCATCACCACCATCCATCTCCAGAACTTTCTCGTGATCCAAAACTCAGCGCCCGTTAAACACTAACTCCCCACCGCACCTCCCGCTTGCCGCGGCAACCACCATTCTACTTCCTGTCTCTGGGTAGTTGACTATCCCGACTGCTCCGGAAGAGTGGAATCGTACAGTCATTGTCCTTTTGTGTCTGGCTTATTGCACTTGGCTGATGTCCTCAGGGTTCATCGACATTGTAGCCTATGTCAGAGCTTCGTTCCTTGTTAAGGCTGACTGATTCTCCATTGTATCAGCACCCCATCCTGGGTATCCACCCACCCGCTGATGGAGAGGTGGGTCGTTTGCCCCTTTAGCTGTTGTGAGCAATACTCCAGTGAACCTGGGTGCAGAGGAATCTGTTCCATTTTGTGTTTTCCATGCTTTTGTGTGTATAGCCAGACGTGGAACTGCTGGATCACATGGTAACGCTAGATTTAAGTTTTTGAGGACCCACCGTGTTGCCTTCCACAGCGACTACGCCATTTTACCAATAGGCTTTCCGTCCTCGGTGATCCTTCTTGTCTTCTCACAACAGCCAACATGGAGGGCATCGTCACCATCGTGGGCCTGAAGCCCGAAACTACGTACGCCGTGCGACTGGCGGCCCTCAACGGCAAGGGTCTGGGTGAGATCAGCACGGCCTCTGAGTTCAAGACGCAGCCAGTCCGTAAGTACACCCCACACCCACCCTCATCTCCTGGGGGGGACCCCGAGCTGCCCCGTCCTTTGTTCAGATGACAGCTTTTTGTCTTTCAGATTGCTCTGCTCAGGGAGGGCATACCTCCCAGCCCCTTGGCCCTCCGTGATGGCTGATACCCAGCCCTTATACAGTCTTTCCCAAAGAGCTTGGTGACATTGTCGCAGTGGCTGGCCCCGCTTGTTAGCATGGCAGCCAGGGGGAGGAAAACACTGGCGCCTCGTGAAGGGGAGCTGGACAGGGACAACGCAGCAGTGTGTCGTGGAGGGATTTGGCAGATTTTGCTTTTTGATGCAGGTCACAAAGGCCCTAAAGCACCCCGTGACTTGAAGGAAGAGGGAAAAGACAATGATGGTTCGTGTAATTAGTCGTGGGATTTTTGAGGCAGCAGAGATATTATGTTATAGAAGAGAGGAGGCTGCTATGGGATGTCCGCACAGTAGCAAGACCCCAACAGTGCAAAAGGGGAAGGAGGGCTGAGGCCTCCACCTCCTGTTCCCCCTCCCTCCCGCCACGAGCATACCTCAAGGTTTCCCTCCCTTGTGGCCGCTTTCAAGAGAGGCGCTTCTTCCTGATGCACTCGGGATGGCATCTGCTTTCCTCCATCATGCCCTCTTTCCTTACAACAGGCCCGCCCTGCTTTCCCTCCCATCCCACCAATAGCTCTGGGCCAGCCCTGCTCCGGGGACACCCTCCGCAGACCCAGACCACTGCCCTGGGAGGGCCCTGCGCCCACCCAGCTGGAGCAGGTGCAGTAGACGCAGACGCCTTGAGCAGCCACAGGGCTCCCTGGGTCCTCTCTGATTCCTGGGCTTAGCAAGCACGCAGGGCCATCCCTCACTTCCTTCTCTTCGAAACCAGAGGCCTGCAAAGCAACCCCCTACCTCTTCCAGAAACAGAAGGCCCACCTCATCTTCCTCCTACAGGAATTGCTTCTTTCTGGATTTGAAATAACTTGATAATTTGAATTTCCAGCTCCATGTGCTTTTCAGAGCCTATTCATTTCTTTTACATCTTTTTTTTTTCCCTTGGGTCTGTCTCTTGTCTTTTCTTTTCGTCTGTGTTCCATCCATGGGAAATGCAGACAGCTCTCTTCCACGTAAGTGCCTCTTCATACCTCATTATCTGTTTCGATAGTGTTAACATCCGCTAGTCCTAGTTCTTAATTTAGTTCCAGTCCCTTTTTTGTTCCCTAGGCTGAAGTAGATGATACTGTCCGGGCCCTAACCACACTGACCTTAGTCTAGTTGTGCTCTTGTTAATGTCTGTAGGTTTTTACTCCAAGAGGCTAACACGCGTCCTGTTCTAGAGCATGCAATTTTTGTGTCCTTTGAAGCTGTGTTTATCTATTAATTTCTGTGTGTGACGATTACCCCATGGCAATGCTGATGCCCACCCAGCCAAGCACGGTGGGAGTCTGCAGGGGGTCTCCGAGTAACACACGACAGCACCAGCTCACCTTCTGCCCGGATGCCAGAAAATGACCACAGCCTCACCAGGGATTCAGAATCCCTTCCCGGGGAAAAGCAGCTGAAGGGATTTTCACATTTGCTTTTAGGAGATAAAAGAATTGAGCTCATAGCCCCTTCCCTTTTCTGTCTATGGTGGCTGGAGGGCTCTGGGAGGCCTAAGCAGCAGCTGCAATTGTAAAGAATAGCATGAGGTTTGGTTCTGAGTCACAGGTACATCCTACAGGCAGCTGCTGGGCAGTTAAATCCCCACTTCGGTCAGTTCTGTTCTTCAGCACTAGGTTCTTGCAAAGTGCACGTCCATGTTTGGGAAAGAATGACCGGCCACTGAGTAACTTCACCGTCAAGCATAAGAGAGGGGAGATGCTCCATGGGAAGGACATGTAAGCTATAAATAGCAAATATAAAGAGCAAGGGTCACAGGAACCTGGCCCGCTGCTCTGGGGGGGCCCAAACGGGTCTGACCTGGCCTGCAAGATGCCCCCAAGCATCACTCCCGCCAAGCCCTGCCTCTCGCTTCCTGGGCTGAGCTCAGAATAGTGAAGGGGAGTGTTACCCGGAGAGACTCGGAAGAAAAGGTATTCAGAAAACTGCACACTCTTTCCATAAAAAGCTCCCAGCTCCTGAAAGGCACTCAGGGAAACTTATCTTTTTAAAATTTATTCAGAAATATTGCAGCAACAGCAGAAACTAAGTAGCTCCGTGTAGGCGTTCTGAGATTTTGAGCAAGTGCTAAATCCATGATCTCAGCAGACTTGGTTCCTGAATGAACCGGTTCTGGAAGGAGTCAGGATTGGGGATTGGCGTTGTCAGGTCAAGACTGACAGCTGTCTGCTCTGGGCGGCAGCTCTGCCCTGAGTGAACTCAGAAGGAGCACCTCTGACCCTGAGAACACCTTCCTCCTGGATCCTTAATCTGAGCTTTGGTTTCCATGCTTCTGGATTTTATGGGTAAAGGAATGGTGGCTTAGTTATATGACAGAGAGGAAGGCCAAGATGAGGCTTCCTTTTGAGTTTCTAACCAGGACCTGGGGTCTGAGTACTGAATCAGAGTAACTGGGTCTTCGACTTCAAAGCCCATCTGTGGTTTTCACTCATTGTCAGTTCAGCCCTTACAAAGGTGAGAATTTCTTAAGCAGATGCTATGTTTTAAAACTCAATGTTTAATTTAAAAAAAGAGAGACCTCCGGGACCTTGTTGTTCCCTGCACCAGGATTCCAAGAACCCCTCTGGAAAATGGAGCAGTCAGCTGTCCATTGCTAGTAGGTCATGCGAATGACATGCAAAGTCAGTTTTCTCAATCATCTAATAAAGTTATGGCCTAAAGGACTAAAAAATCAAACTTCTTCTAAATAAGGAAAATTGTGGCAGAGCCTTATCACTGTGTGCCTGTGTCAAGAACTTGAGCAGGTTAAGAGCCAGGGAAATACACAGAACATCATACTCTTACTGAAGTTGGTTATTATGGTCTTTCCTGTACCCTTGTGACCTTCCTAGAGGGGCCGAAGTGAGGGCCTAGCACAGGGGGGTATCTAGACCCATCCTGAAGAAGGATCCAGTTGGGAGGATGACTCCAGCATCTACCACTGCCATGCCAACTCTCACTCACTGCTACTAGGAAGTTAGGGCACGTTTTAGGAAGGACTTCTCTGAGTTCTCACTCCCTGTCCTCAGAAGGCACAAAGGTTGTCTGAAATCAGGTAAATAAAATCAGCCATCCATTTAGCCGAGCCCAAGTTGGTTTTGGTCTCTGACACTGGCTCGTCTCGCCCACTGACCATGCTTTCCCCCCTGTGATGTCGGGGTACAGATTCACAGCCTGATCCCGTGACACTGGAGTTAGGCCCTAGGGGCACCTAGGGGGAGAAGGTACAGGCTTAATAAGCTGTCGTACTGAATAGAGAGTCACTGTTGCCAGACAACCCCTCACCCCCTACCTCCCACCCCCTGCCCCAGTTAGGAGGCAGTAGGTGAGAGCTGGTGCATCTTGCATTAGTTTATCACTTGAAGTTCCTTGAGATGTGCCAGTAAGGGGGTTGCTTTCTTGGTTCCTTAATAGACTTAGCCACATGCAGAGGCATGACCATGTCAAAGCAGGGACAAGCAGGTGAAACTAGCCAAAGCCACAAATATCCCCAAGAGTCCTGCTTCTGAGCTGCCGTATCAGAAAGCCTGGCTCACCTGTTTGAAGATTCCTTTGTGTGCAGCTCATAAATGTGTGTGAAGGTAACGAGGAAGCGGTGACTCCAAACAAATAAATAGAACTCCAGCCTGGAAAAAATGTCCCTGTTCATGTATTTTTAGGCCACATGTCTGCGTGTTGTCATGAAGCTTTTAGGTGGAAAGCTCACAAGCTCTGTTTGCCTTGGGAGGGGCTGCTTCCCTATCAGAGCTGCTGAGGCCCTAAAGACATGATGTGACAGTTGATTATGCATCCTTTCCTCCATGATTGAGCCACGTACCTTCAGAATTTCATTGCCTGAATGTCACCTCTTTATTTGCTTCTGAACCATGAAGCAAAATAGACAATTTCTTTCAGGGGATAAAGATCATGAAGGAGTGTCTACTTTTCCAAAGAGGCATCTTGAGGTTTTTGTCTTCACATCATGCCCCCTTGATGGCACGTTGCAAGTGTAATATATTATGTTTCTAATATATCTAACATAATTCTAATATATTGTGTTTAAAACACATAAAACTCTGTCCCTTTGCCAGAATAATATGGGCAGTGATGCAAACAACTCAAGCCAAAAAAGTACAAGAGAAAGAGATACACTTTCCCCTGAATTAACCAGACCATCAAGTCATGATGAGCTCACAGTGAGTTCAGTGGGCACTTTGCTCTGATTCCAGTGACACTCTACTCATGTGCTTTAATGAGATGCTTGATGCTTCATCTGGAAGAGAAAAGGAAGACCAAACTATGAGTATGCCAAACAATGTTGGAGATACGGTGATGTTCTTCCAGATTTTCATCTCGCTCTCAACAAGACTTTGTTTTGTGATTATTGATGGGACAACCTCTGAATATTTGCCAGTGAAAAACTAAAGATCTATTCAGTGTCCGGAATGTCTCAGATGCACCACTTCTAATGGTCCTCCAAGCAGAAAGTTGGGTTAGTGTTACTTTATTCAGTCCCAGTCTCTTCAGCATTCCCTTCCTCCAAGAGAGCATGAGACTAACACTCAGTGTTATTTGCATTGGTCTCCGCGCTCACGGCAGCCTCCGGAGAATCACCTTCTATAGGGTTTTGAAGGGCAGCCATGGTTATAGTATGATCTAGATGCCCAGCAATCCTGGATCTCACCCAGCAGTAAACGTCAAGTGGGAGAGTCATTTCTGTTTCTTTGGGACATTGAGATTAGAGAGTGAGGCATACAGGCTTTGCTCTAAGTATGTGCCCTGAGTGCAGACATAAGCCTGTCCAGAAGCACATACAGAGATCTATCACATGAAGAGCCAAAGCCTCCTTTTTCCCCACGTTCACCTCAACCTGGGGTCCAGGTTCCCTTTTCTCCTGACATCTGATCCTGTGAAGGCAGCTGGTCCTGCTGAATGGGCTCTTTGTTTCAGGCAGGGTTGGAGGTCTCTGTAGCTGCTCCTGGCCCAGTCCCTGACCTGAATGCGAGCCTTGGCAGGCACACGGGCTCCCGGTTTGAAGTCAGAGAGCCCAGCTCTCTGCTGGTCCGCGGGCCGCCTGCCCTCACGCACGGCATCTTCCTCCTCACTGTAACCAGCTTCAGCTTCGTCTGCTGACACCTCCGGGTCGGCTCTTCTATTTTTTCATTCAGTGTCTGTGTGCCTCAATGAGCTTTTTTCCCTCTTTTTTTTTTCACTTTCATTTTTCTTTCCTCAGTGGCTCCTGCTAGCTCTTCCACCCCTGTTCCATTGTCTCCTCCAGATAGTGAGTATCATTTTCTTCATCCATCTCTCTGCAGGTTGCTTTCCACCAGCCACAGTGGGTCTGCGTAATGTTATCTCCTTCACCAGGTGATAATTCAACTCTGTTGGCAGAAAGCAGCGCCGGGTTTTAGAGAAGCAAATGAGAAGAGAGATAGGCGCAGAGCCTCCCAGATTCATGGGAGGCAGCACTCCCCCCAGAGAGCAGGCAAGTGACAGGCATGGCTCTGGACAGAAAACCCTGCAGTCAGGCATCCCAAGGCTGGCGTGGCCCAGCCCTGTCCCCAGGATTCTTCGTGGGCTGGACCCGAGCTGACATTTGGAGAAACCAAAAGAATTTGCCAAGAAAAATATCTATTCTGCAGGGTCATAAGAAGTGGTTTGGGGTGTCGTGTTTTCACCCTTCATTTTAATTGGCACAGTTGGATTCAGACATTGAAATTAGATAGTGAGGCCTGTAGCTCTTGCTTTCTCCATAAACGTATACTTGTCTCGTAAATATTTGCGGGAAAATAAACAGTGTCTGCTTGCAGATGTGCCCAGCGGTAGGCGCTTCGGCAAGTTATTTAACCCTTCGCAGGTGAGCCTTGTCTTTCTCTTCCATGAAGGAGGATGAGTAATCGCCCTCTTCCCCCCCACCCAGCCCCCTAAAAAGCTTAGCAAGCTGTGTCTGCCCACCCCGAAGGAGGACCGCTCAGCCTGGCAGTGATGTCGCGTGGTCGGTCTCCGGCCTCTTTATTCCTGACTGAGCCTCTCTCATTTACGGTCTTACTTCACTTGGCTGCCTTGCGCTTCTGTTCCCCTGGGGACTCAGGAGGGAGCACTATGCCTGCAACTCTGGGGTTTTGAACCCAGCTCTTGGGGGGCAGGGAGAGCAAAGGGAGACGGCAGCTGCGTGAGGCCTGAGGTGTCAGGCCAGCAGGTGCTCAGGGGGCCGGCAGGGTGGCGCCGCCCGCTGGGCTCAGGAGCTGCTGGGCTCTGTGCTCTGCGCATAGCCTCCAGAGAGGACCCCAGCCCTGGGCTCAGAAGCCCCCTATCCTATCGCTCTCTCTGGCTCAGCAACAGGCCCAGCACCCCAGGTGGTACTTTCCAGGCCGTGGCTGTGTCAGCGGGCATTGAGGCTTGGGAACCAGAGACAGCCTTGGGTTCGAATCCCATGTCTGCTCCTTCAGTGCCTAGCTCCGTGGCCTTGAACGAGCCCCTCCACCTCCTGAGCCACAGAGTCCTTATCTCTCTGATGAGGGATAGAGTCTACCTCTCTTGTAGGTATCTGTGAAAATGAAAGACTAAGTATGAAAAACACAAAACACAGTGCCCAGCACGTAGTAGCCAGAATTTGTGGTAAGAGTAAACGAGGGTTATGTCATTTCTTGCCAAATGAGAGTAACTTGTCAGCAAAATCTCTGATAATTTCCTTAAAATATCCATATTTCTGTTGATAAATCAGGGGAAAAGGCGGTGAGAGAATATCCCCTTCACCAACTCTTTCTTTTCTTTATATCTATATATATCTGTATCCATATAGATACATCTACGTATGCACACGGACACACTCCTGTATAAACACGTTCATGTATTTACTTACGAATATATTTTATATCTCCATTCTCTCCTTCACCTTCCTGTGCCCTGTCTGCCCGTCATGTTTCCATAGCAACCTGGCCTCTTCCTGCCCTCACAACCACAGACCCGGCTAGTGAGTACAGAGTTATGGCGGCTCTTGGCCAGATTGCTGCTTGTTGCAGAGCTGGCTTCTGGGTCACGGTGCTGCCCGTCATTGTCCCTTGTGTTAAAAGTAACAGTTGTGAATGCATGGAGGCTCTTCTCCTGGTGTGGTTTCCTAAGCATGCTGTCTGCGTGGCCAAGAGAACAGACCCAGCACCACCAAAAGGGCTGGGATGATTATCTGAAGAATACTCTGCATGAAGAGAGTTTTCCAAATTTCCCTTCGTGTGAAAAAAACAGAATAGGATTAGAGGAACACTAAGGGAACAAAAGAACAGCATCTCCTCCGAGCTTTGTTGTCCCTCCCCTCTGAAGCGTGTGCACGCACACACGCACACACACACACACACAAGTAGCCAAGACTGAGAACAAGGGAAGGAAGAGAGAGAATGCTGCTTGGGGAGAGGTGGAGGGTGCAGCAGAGAGGGAAGCCGCCGCTCGTTTCTGACAGCTTGCCCTGCTTTGTGGGGCCTCGCAGCAGGGCCCAGGGGGCATGAGGAGTACACAGAGCACCCCCGGAAAGGAGAGGCCTCCTCGCAGTCCTCCTCCTCAGTGCTAGGAAAATGGCAGCCCCAGAAAGCGTAGCCGGGCCTGCTCAAGTCTGTGTGCTGAAAGTCCAGATCAGAGTGCTGGAATCCATCTGCAGAGGGTAGAGTCAGGACCAGACTTGTGGAAAGCATTACACTTCATCACAACAGTGACCTGTTCCAAGCTAGCCTTTATAACGCTCTAATGAGGGGGGCTTGTGGGTTAGGCCTGAAGTCCCAAGTCAACTAGGAGCCCCCAAGCACAGGCACGTGTGTGTGTGTTTACAGTGGTGTCCACAGCCTTGGGGGGGGTTAGGTTTTATAATATTTCTGAGTGCACAGAAAACAATGACCTGTGTCCACGGAGCAGTGGTCGGTGGGAGAAGGCAGAAAGCAGGTGTGTGGAATCCAGCTCCTACTCCCCTCCCTGGGCCGAGGTTTCTGATACATAATTGAACAGAGAAGAAAAGAGTTTCCTGGTTCTGCGTGCTGCATGAAATGGTTCTTTTTTCTACTACAGAACATAGCTGAGGGTCTGCTTTCTTGGGGTTCTCTGCGTGTGTGTGTGCTGCAGTGAATTTTAATTCCTGATGCTTTTGAGGTTTCACTTTGTCAGCAGAGCAGAGCGGGTGACAATGAACTGTGCTCGCATGGGTTTCACTCAGAGGATGGGTTTGTGGTTTTGGTTTTTTGTGTTTGGTTTTTTTTTTGTTTGGTTGGTTTGGTTTGGTTTTGCATTTGGGAAAGGAATGCAATTAACCCATTTTTCTTCAAACAGCCATGCTCCTGTGCCTTCCAGCTTGGGGTGGTGTGTGTGCGAGGCATAGTTGGAGAAGGCTACGTAATGCATTTGCACAGCTCAGGTCATATTAATATGTCTCATGGTAGACTGGTCTTCCCTGGAATCTAGAATCCAGAGTTTTCCTCAAGGAAGAATTGGGTGTTCCTTCCTGACATACGTTTAATTTTTAAATATCAGACATTTCTGTCCACGGATAAGATGCCCGGTAGTGACATCAAAAGAGAAGAAAGTTTGTCTTTTTTTTTGCACCCATTTGACTACTGACCCAAATTATAGGTCCCAGTGGATCCTGGGATATAAGGAAAGACGGTCACAATTGGGCAGCAGCCTGTATTTAGCATGAGCATAATCGTATACAATAAGGCAAAAGGTAGCGTGTGTGAATGCGGTGGAACAGCAGAGTAGCTAGAAGTGCAGAAAAATCCATCAATCATCAGCCAGTCAATAGGATTGAAAACGAATAACGTCTCCTGTTTTTGCTTGTGTGTGTGTGTGTGTGTGTGTGTGTTGATCCATTTTTAATCATGAATTCATGAATGAATGAAGGTACCCTAGATAAGATCAAAAGAGAAACCGATCAGTTGTGTATCATCCCTGCAGGGCACCATTGGTTGGAACATGTCAGAGCCTGTGCAGTGGGACATGGGACGGACAGGTTCTATCAGCTCGCAGGGGCAAGGGATGTGTAGCTGGGCTAAAGCATTTCTCCTGCATTATTTTTAAACAGTGGTGTGCTTTGGGCAGAAAGGTACCTCCACCTCCTCTCTTTGCCCTTCTTCTCTTAGTTTCAACCAGCAATAGCCTGAACTTTCCCTGGTCCGTGCAAGTTAAGGCGGGAAACCCAAAATGCCTTTTGACAGGCAAGTCATTCAGTAACAGATTAGACCACAAAGACAACATAGGACAAAAAGGAATGTAGATAAAGCCAAATAAGAAAACTATTTGCCTTTAATTGTCAAGGTCAAATCCATATCTTATCAGTACAGCCACAAGTTTAGAGAGGTAGGTATCCACAAATGTCCAAGCACTTGTTCAATGTCAACGTCTTAGCTCAGGGGGCCAGGGGTTCAGTTTCGTTCTTCAGTGTTGACAGAGCCATTGTTTCGACCACCAGAAGGAAACCTGTTCCCTTCTGCACTGGCCTCCGCCTTTGTAGGTTGTCTCAATTTTGGTATCTCACTGGGGGCTCCGGGATAATGTGGGTAGATGGACAGGGAAGTGAGAAAGGACCGCCAGGACTGCCTTCTCTGGTCTGCATCCCGCAAACCTTACTCAGCCCGTTCCCCGTCTCCTTATGCACCACAGGAAACAGGAAATGGCTTTTCTCAATGTAATGTAATATTTTGTTCCTACAGGGCACACAGTCTTAGGACTTTTCCTGCATGACCCATGTTCTCTCTCATTGCCCTTGTTTCCCGAGGATGCCGAGACATTTTTGGAATCTGTGAATAATAACTTGCTTTTTTTCTTTTCCTTCAACAGTCTCCTGGATTGACTTTGACATCCGGGTCCTGACAGAAACACCTCCCTATATTTCCAAACAAGTGTACATGCTCCTTGATGTATTAATATGCAGTGTTGCAGCTGTATCTAATGCTTATTGGTGTCGTTAACCAAATGCTCTTTATGATTTATTATCCTTCTATTTCCGGGCAGTTTGACTGTCCTCCCAATGTTTCCTATATATGCTGCTAATTTAATTTGATTTCTCCTTTTATTTAGTCTGTGATTTTGTTGTTGATTTTTTCTCCCTGCCCATTGTTTACATCAGTTTTTAATTTTTTTGTATTTTCCATGTGACCTCCTCCACTTTCCTTTCAACCAATCATGTGCGTGCGTATCATGTGACTTTGTCATGTGGCTTGCATGGTGCTGATGATGTCGTCCACGCTGGTGAACAGAAGGTAAAACTCTTTGTTCTGATTAGGGAAATAAACCTGGGACCACAGCCTGGCACCTAGGGCCCACTCATTCTTCCTGTCTTAGATTTCCCAAGTGAAGCCATTTGAGAGATTTCCTCTTGTTCTCAGTTCACCTCTAGAATTCATCATTCTTTGCGGCCTTGACATGACGATTTGATACCATGAGAGCCTTTGGTTCAACATTTCGCTTCGAGAAACGCGGCCCTGCAAACTGCCGTCTGTAGTAAAACCACATTTGCCACGGTGCAGTTTGCAAACTTGAATTTTTACCAGATAGTTCGTAAAAATTATTTCCCAGAAAACAGTTTTGCAAATTACCTTTGCGACATTGTTGTTTAACTTTATCCAGTAGTCCTGAAAACCACAGTTGCTCTAAAATGAGTCATGTCTGTGAAAATGTGAAATGTATCTGTTTGCAACACTGAAACGCTTCGGAGAGAAATATATCAATTGCTGTGGTTCTATTTGCTCAAAACCAATGAGAGTGCTTCATAAAATTCATGCAAATTGAGGACTTACTGAAACAAGAGATTTAAGAATTTGGAATTAAAGCAGTTTGGATTGTTGACATGTCACTGTTTAAGAGTGACCCTCCCCCTGGGCAGGAGGGGGGAGGCAGGAAATCAAAGCAGAAGTTAGCAGTTACCATGACTGGAGATCCCTTTGTAATCAAGAAGCACATGATTGACCCTTACAGCAAAGGAAATAAAATTATAGCCTAATTAAGCGCAGAGTGGTGACAAAATAATTAGTTAATACTGTGACTGTCACAACCTTGGCAAAACATTTCTCGCTTACCATAAAGAGAAAAGGAAGCTCTGCTCACAGCTTTCCCACTGTAAAATCAAACACCTATTCAAAACCTGCCCTGGGAGTCATCTGCATTCTGTTCTCTTCTAACTGAAGACTGTTACGTCAGATCACAACCTGAGACACAGACCGGCTGCATTGATCACAAAAGCCAGACTAACATGAATAACCACCCAGTGTGCCCGTGCATGCGAGGGGTCCCCGTTTGGCCTCACTTCTCTGAGGAACTGACTGGGCGACATCCACATGGACAAAACCATCCACAGCTGTCTCGCATGCATGTTCTCTGTTCCTGGTCTGTCTTTTTGTTTCGTGCACCCCACACGTGTGAGCCTTGTGGATGCTACCCTCTCACTTCGCCCTGCACACTGACCATCTCCAAGGACGTCAGCTTTCTTGGCGTGGCCACTGTGCTCCTATTGAGTCCTATTTACAGCCAGAGTCCTGGACAAGGTCTGGGGTCAGAGCCATCTGCCATTTCCAAAAAGATGTTTGGTGTTTACACTGTATGAAAAGAAGTCGGGGTGTGCCCAAAGCAGGGGAGTATCAGATGTGCTAAGAACTTTGTTCTGCCTTTAAAAGGCAACCTAATCTGTGCATCTTAGGGCAGACAATTTTGGGAGCCTAAGGTTTTCTAAACTCCCAAGTCTCACCCAAAATACTGTGGTTGCATTATTCCCCCAAGGGGGGACCGCGTTCTTTTGAGGTGATGGCTCCGAGGCTAATGTACTAGGGAAAAACCTGGATCTTCCCCCCTGAGATCTGAAGTTTGAGCAGATGTGGAGTTGAAACCCGTTAGTTTCTTTCTTAAAAACAAGTTTGGTCATTTCTGTGTCTTGCTGTAATTCAGGAATGAAGCAAAGCACCCCACGAACAAAGGTTGAAACTGATCCATACCTCTGAAGAGCGATCTCTTCCAGACATTTTAAGCAAAGCAAGAAATGTTTGAAGATGTTTCCTGCAGTTGCCCTAGAAACACACCTTAGCAATGGCCTTGGGTATTGGTAAAAATGTGGCCAGTGCTAAAAAAAAAAAAATCACTAAAGCGCCTGTGGAATTCGAAAGCATGATTACGCCCTCACCAAACCACATTTCCCTACTGTGACAGACGCTCTTTGGCCCTTTGCAAAGGGACGAGCAGAGGACTCCTTATTCAAATGAACAGCAAGCAGCAGGAAATGGCCTTTAATAATAAAATTTAAGGGAATGGAGCGGTCGAGCAAATAAAATTTATGGGGGAGAGAAGTAAAGCTTAGTTAAGAACATGATTGCCTCCTTTCTCTGGACATGAGTAAGGCTTTAAGGTGAGTGGGGCCTAACTGAGGAAGGTTTAGATGAGCAGGGACTCTCTCCCAGGAGTGGGCTTGCTGTGCCGAGCTAAGATGCTCCCATGCCGAAGTCTATTCTTAATATCCTGGCACCTGGTCACGGCCCGGCTTCTTCCTCCAGTGACTCCATCAGCCGTGAGGACTCTGTGTAAATGGGCCTCCTCACCCTCCCCGCTCCCAGCATGTGTGCGATGACAAGCCCCCTGTGCCCCTCTGTCAGTGTGCAGCATGTCCGAGCACGGATCCCCCCCGCCCCCCACCCATTCATAATGATCTCCTTTTCTTTAGCTACTGACACTGCCTCTCCTACTAGGACATGCCGATTCTGATGAACTAAACTCCTTAACACCCACTCTTCCTTCTTAGATTGAAAACATCACTAACCACCCCTTCCACTCCCTCCTTTATTTTTTTTACAGCTGTGTGTCTGGATTGCCACGGGTCTCTGGCAGGTCGACACAGACTTGTCACCAGGGGTTCTGCTCTAATTGCCTTTATTCCAAAGGATTCCCTGCACTGGTGGTAGAGAGCTAGTGTGAAGGGTCTGCAGAGGGAGGCAGTGATGCGTATCGGCCTGAATCCTGGGTGCAGAGGCCGGGGGCTCTCGAAAGGGTACAGTTCCCTAGGGCTTAGCAGTGTGAGGGCCGAAACCTCTCAGGAGCCTCGTTCTTCTTTATGAGCAATCTGACGTCCGTGAAGTAGTATTGAAGATGTGCACAAACCCCCTTGCAGCCTCGGAGACAGGAGCCAAGTGAATTGTTGGAGGTTGTTTCGGTCCTAACTTCCTCAGCCTGGATCAGTCCCATAACCACAAGCCACACCTTCGTGGTCATATTTTCTTTTTAGGATGATGAAACAAAGATAATTGATCAGTTAAGCTGTTGGTGTTTTCATGACACCCACGAGAAGGGACTTGGTATCTCTGTGGTTCAGTCTGTCAAAGTTCATTTGTTGCTGTTTCATTCATGCCCCATGCTGCCATCGGCCTCCCCACCCGCCCCCCAGCTCACACACTCACATTCGTAATCCCCGAGGAACCCGATTCAAAAAGGACATGTAGGCCAGATGCCCCCATGACCGTGGCCTCAGAGCGAAACATCCGTTCTGTAAGAGCCATGTCCACCTGTCGTGTCCCCCAGCGTTCCCTGGAGCCCATGACCAGGATAGCAAAGAGTCAGGTCAGGCTAGCACAAGCAAATTCTTAACAACGAAGAGGAAAGAGCTCAGGAGAAAAGGAACACTTGACTCCCAAGGCCTGCTTTGGGGGACCAAGGGTTAGGACAAATTGAAACCCATCCAGGCACTGTCGGCCACTCGCTGGGACTGTCAGAAAGCCCCCTCAGCACCCCTAGAATAGCCAGGTAGGCCATCAGAGGGGGCATCACAGGGAGTTGGGGGGTCCAAGGTACATTGGATTCATCTGTTCAGCAAAGAGCTTGTCCTTCTCAGAAAGGACAATTAGCAGGCTAATAACTGCACATCCTGATTGCCTTAGGTAATTTGCCCATCCGCTAAGGACCAAACTTCTAACCTCTTGTAATTTCCAACGTTCCTGAGTTGGAAAGATCTAATGGGCTTCATATTTGAACAGCCAAATCATACATTTTGGGCTCTTCTAAACAAGTAACAAAAAGGCGTATGTACATTTCAAGTTCTTTTCAAATGGCTTGCAAGAAGTAATTCAGGGAAGGGAACAGGAGTTAGGATACACAAAAGTAACAGTATTTGTCATGCCAGACAATCCCATTTGATAGAAAAAGGGAGAGAGTCTAATGCAAGCCCTACATCCATTACTGGTTTGTACTCAGATGCCCAAAACTCTGTGCAGACCCCTGTGGGCGGGGACAGCAAAGTGGATGAGGAAGGAGTGTGGGTCAGGCCTCCCTCAGCACTTGAGTCAGAAGATAGAATAATTTTGGTAATTGGGCATTTTTGAGTTAAGTAGAATATTGTTTTCCTTCTAAAATTTACAAATGCTGTCCAAACGCCCTGGGCTTGCTATAGTTTTCATTGTGGAATTCAGATATCCAGCAGTAAGCTTTCTGACCCCAGAGCTTGTGCTGAAGAAGGAAAGGACATGAAGCCGACTCCAATTTTAGGGCACAATAGCATGAAAATTACAAAGAACCTACAATCCTCAAGGCCAGAAATACACATTTCAATAACAATTTCTAAGGGGAATTTATAGGACCTGTCTGTAACATTTCTGACTATGTGGTCTCTATGGTACCTTCTTATTTTCTTACACACATGATTTACGTTCTTCTAGCAAATACCAGAGCTGCCTAATATTTTATATTTGTTATCGGCAAGGTTTATTTTTAAGGTGATGTTGGGTTTTTTTTAGTCTTTACATAAAATATCTGGGGGGGGGGGGAATTTGACTCATGGCTGAAGCTAAATTCAGAAGGTGTAATTAACCCCAGGGGTATTCTTGGAGCAACCTGCCGATTGCTGCTGAATTTTAAACCAACATTTACAAATAATTACAATATTGGTTTTGCTGAAATTACCTATAATGATTTCAATCAGAGCAGCCATTTCAGAACAGAGTGCACATTGGGACCCTCTAAATAATTTCCTCTCCTAATGTGTTCAGTAAAGCAGTGAGCCTCCCGAATGCCAAGGCCCCCTTTCTCCAGCATCGGCCCCTCCCTGGTCAGGCGTGGCTGGAGCCGCCTGCTTGCCGAGAGCTCAAGAAGCAGTTTCTTTAGCCTATTCGTAATCTTTAGAAAAACTGACAAACGGTGAACATTTGAAGATGGCTAAGACAATTCATTAAACAAATATTGCTCTTTCTACACCTTTATGTGACTACAGCAAGTTCCATCCTTACAAAGTGGGTCAGAATCCCTCTGATGCTGGTTGATGAGAATCTTCCTGAAGAAACACTGTCACAGGAAGGGTTACGTTTCTGTACGAGGGCCCTGCCATTTTTTTTAAAAGAATTGGTCATAACTAGGCTTTTTTTTTTCATTTGGCAAACAAAACCTTGTCTTGTCTACCTTTGAGACACCAATGCCTAAGTAACTACCTGGTACCTAGAGGGTAGATACTCGGTAAACGTTTGTTGAGAATTAAATTATAGTTAAAGCACTTGAGGTGATACACCTAAATATTACATGATATGCTCTAAATTCTACGAGAAAGTAGAATTCTGACATACATGTCAGAATAACGTCATCACTCTGATAAAATGTTAGCAACGGATAGCGTTCCAGCTTTGGTCAGTGTTAGAACTGTGTTCTAACCGTGGTGTGGTTTTCAGTGATTTCTCTATGATTCCAATTCTATTCTATTCTATCTAAATGGACAACCCTGTGCCCTAGAGATGTGGAATTACTGATCTTGGGGTACATTGCCCTGAAATTGGCAGGACATCCTTATTTTGCGTCTGTCTTTCACAGTGTTGTGAAAATAGCCAAGGTGTTCTTGGACAGTTTGTCCTAATGCAGTGACTGTCATTGGGTCACCACGCTGGCAGAACGACAGGGGACCCTGGAGAACACTTAGCCCAGGGCCCCTATTCTGCATCTGTGGATAGTGAGGCAGAGGCCTGTCTAAGCATTCGGTTTTATAGGGACCCCCACAAACATGAAAGGGAGCACCTCTTCTAAGTAGATATTCCCCCCAAAGCAAAGGCCTTGGGGGAGGGACTAGGTCATTGCCCGGTGAGTGTGTTGGAAAGGCCACCGATCCCGCCTCCTCCCCTCCTTCTTAAGGCAGATAGACTGTCATAGGGTCAGTGTCGCAGTTTTGAACACGGAAGTCATCATTGGTGCCCATCCCCATTCAGTCTCAGGCCACCAACCATCCCAGTGTGCCTGGGGGTAAGGGTTTTCTGGAGTGCAGGATTTGCAGTGCTAACACCTGGAAAGGCCCAGGCCAGCCAGGATGAGTTGGTCACCCTGCTTCAGAGATGAGGATTGGAAAGTTCTACTGTGCCTCGTGATCCCATTTGTTCAGCACTCGTGACTCTGCACAGACCTGCTCGGTTCTGACATGACCTCCACTTGGTTTGAGTTTCTTTGTAGCACAGGATATTTATAACGATAGAAGACATTACTAAACTTCTGTCTAAGACTGAGAACAGTCCAAAAGAATTTGAAAAGTGAGCCCGCCTTGACATCATGACATCATCTAAACCAAATTCCTAAATGTTCTCCACTGAAGAGTTGAGACCAGTGGCTAGAGAGCGGCACGAAACCAGGACAAGTCTTTGCCTAAAACCTGTTCTTATCTTTTTTAACTCTTGTTTTTCTTTTTCCTTAATCACTGATTGGGGAAAACAAACCACAAGCACAACTTTTCCTAAATACTTTCTCTCTCGGACATTAAGATGATGCATCCTCCCTGTTGCAGCTTCCATGCGTCCCCTTCCCCGTGGCTTCTCAACCTTAAATGTGCACACGGATCACCTTGGGATCTTGTTAAAAACAGAATCTGCATTTCTAACAAGCTCCAGGTGGTGTGTGTGCTGCAGGTCCAGGCCGAGTAGCAAGGGTTGTCCATTAGCTTTCCGTCTCTGGTTCCCTCTTGTCTCAAAGAGAGGAGCGGGACGAGCAGCCGTTGAGAGGTGCCCAGAGGAGCTGAATGAAGAGGGTGGGCTGGATGGCTTTGCCAGCAGCCTGGTCACAAATGGTCAACGGTACGCTTCGGGATGATGAGGTCCGAAGCCTAGGGACAAACCTTTCTGGGTTTTCGGTCACATGTCTGTGATTCTGTCCTCCAACAAACAAGCCAGGACAACCCACCCAGGGGGTAACTGTTCTATAGGCTCTCCCACGTTTCTGTCCGAGGCCGTGAACTAGACATACAGATATGTCCTCGGAGGAAGTGCAGGATCCCCAAGTGCATTAAGTCTTCATTTCAACTTCTCTCAAACATTCTCTCACCTCATTGCTTCCAGTATCCACTAATGACAGTTTCTCTTGAAGTAACTCAGCGTCTTCCTCACAGAAAAACCATCCCAGCCCTGGTAGTTTGTCCCGTACAAGACCGTCTTCCTTCTCTCCCTTGGATTCACAAGCCGAGCATATACTGCAAATAGAGACATCAATTTTCCTCTGTTGAGAAACCCTGAAGACGTTTTTTTTTTTCTCTCTTCTCACAAACAAAAAGACTTTAATGATTGTCAGTTTAAACAAGTTGCCCAGGATTATCACTCAGGTGGTTGAGCCATAAATGCAGGATGCTTACAGGAGACTTGCCCCTGGCATCTTGTGCTTTATTTAAGCATAACTGGAAAGTTGTCACGTTTTTAAATGAATCTAAGTAACAGAACTTAATTCATGGAAAGCGGGTCACAAGAATGCAGTGTCATTCCACCCCTACTAGGCATGTGGGTCCCCCAGACCCCCAGGATGAATCATATATCCAGGGAAGAAACTGGCTGTTTTGAAGAATTATTTTATGAGTGTAAGTTTTCTCCTTAAACACTTACACACATTTTCCCGTATTTCAGGCTGTTCCTCAAAATGTATCAGGCTCATCAAAGTTAAATCTGCAGTTGTAAGAGCAGGCAAAAAGGAAATGCAAGCACTAGTGAGAGACATTAAAAAAAAATAAAATAAAATCCTGTTTCTAAAATGGTAAAAGGACTGTGCTATTAGGGAGGGTTTCCCAGAACATTCCCAAAAAGCACTTCATTTGGGGCTAAGTCTGACGCATCTAACTGGAACCCGAAGTTTTATATTTATTGCTTTTTAACCGTTTGAATTTCTGAGAAAGCAAGAAAAAAGCCCAGCCCCGCCCCATCACTACATCCCATGCTGATGGATTAGATTTTCCTTTTGTGGGCAAAAATGTCACATGAATTAACTGGCTGTTTCAGGGGAACCCAGCGCACCTAAGCTCGAAGGGCAGATGGGAGAGGACGGAAACTCTATTAAGGTGAACCTGATCAAGCAGGATGACGGCGGCTCCCCCATCAGGCACTACCTGGTCAAGTACCGAGCGGTGAGTGGCTCCGGGGCTCCCGCCCCGTCCTCACCCCTGCTTCTGCCACCCTGACACCCACCTTGTTGGGGCAACAGTGTGCAAAGCCCAGGCGGGGCAGAGTCGTTCTGGGTCTTGCAGATGGCTCAGCGGCCCTGGTCAGAGTTTTCAACCCCAAGCTTGACCTACAGCCATCAGGCCGTGTCCACACTGGGACCATTTTGAAACCTCTAAAATGATTGTGGTGGCGGCAAACTCCTATCGTGATCGATTGCTCTACTTTTTGAACGTTTTTACAAAGTGGTTTTGCCATTACCTGGTACTTTTTGCAGATAATATACTGATATCTCATAATCAGTATGTTTGATCAAGTGTGTATTATGGGCCAGGCACTGCGATCGTGTACTTTGTTTCCCCATGAGAATCCTGTGAAGTTGGCCTTAGGCTTATCGGCCCTTCACAGAGGAAGTAACGTACTCAGTCAATGATGCATGGTCCCTCACAGCTGGGTGGGCAGAGTTTGAACCCAGGTCTGTCTAAAGACACTGGGCTCTTCGCCCCTGCCTTAGGCTGCCTTACCATCCCAAACCATGGTCGTTCCCACCTGCCCCTCGGACCCTCCCTGAGCTGGTCTAATCCTGCTCACAGTGAGCTTGGCCCTGAACCCTTTCTTCCCGGCTTGCTCACCACCTAAGATTTCTGTCATCTGCTTTTCATCTCCAGGCTCCAAAATGAGAATCGCTCTCACTTTCTTTGGTTTTAGAATGACACTTGGCCACTGCCAACCACAATCAATTGCTGAGAGATCTAGAGGCAGTGTCTGAGCACTGGGAATAGCCTCTTGCTCAGGTTTCTTACCGTAGGAAATAATGAACCAGAGAGCAGTTTTCTTTCCTCAAATAGAAAGGATTTTGCAAGGAAGTTGACTTACTCCTTCTCTCTTGATCAGCCCCTACTGAAGTGGAGTGTGAGCCCTTGCCTGGTTAGGCTTAATGGAGAATCGCTACAGCACAGACCTTCTCAGGCACACTCCCCAGTGGGTGGGCAGACCTGTCATTCCACTCAGCCCTTCCCCAGTTAATTGCGAAGCCAGACACGAGGCTGACGTCGGAGGAGGTGCCTCTGTGGACTTCCCTGAGGCCCAGCCTAGAGGCACCACTGATGAGAGGTCCCTGTGGCTTCCTCACTGTGGAACAGGATACCAGGATTGAGCGATGGCCCAGCACAGCCCACAGGAAGTGGACAGTGTGGTCGGGTGGGCCATCTCTGGCCCTCGTTAGGCTGATGTGGCCCAGACAGACGTGGGATCCAGGTTCGGCTCTACCACTTACCAGCGTGTGACCTGAATAGGTCACCCAGTCTTCCAAAAACCTCCATTTCTCCATCAGTAAAGTGGGAATAAAATAGCTTCTCGAGTTATGGTGAAGATCAGTTATAATATAAGCAAAGAACCTGAAAAGTGCCCGACACATGGAACCCCCCTCCCCCGCCCCATAACTACCATAATCACTGCTAAGAGCATGGAG